CATGCAAGCCAAATAGAGGGATTATCCATATTTGGGAGTTGAAGTTCATTAAAACGCAATAGTTGTCTGCTGAAAACTCAACGATTTAATTACTTAATTGTTTTTTTTAACATGTTAAAATCTAGCTTTCATTCTAATGGAACTAACAGTGGCGAATGGTTAAAAATACAGATATTTTGTCATGAAAGTCACGAAGTGCACTAGGGCCTTTTCCTTCGTGTAAATGTTATAATTGGATTATACGCGTTGTAAAGGAGAATTAGATTTATTTATATTAGACATATATGAAAATGCCTTTTATATAAATTGTCCCAAAAATGAGATCGATCAAACGTTATTTCAAGTTAATGGAACACTCACATTTCCTATAATAACAAGAGAGATATAGTATGACCAAGTAAGAACCAGACGAAAGTTTCTAAATTTAATGGCTTTATAGCGGACTAATAACTTTTAAGAAATTTTTTGGCTCCAAAAACAAGGGGGTCCACGAAAAATTGTCTTAAAGGGGTTCAGATTCTACGTGTCACAAAACCCCTGTGTACCAAATTTAGTGATTCGCGTACAACAGGGTTCTGAGATATAAAAAAGAGATTATCCTTAGGGGCGGATTTTAGGGGGCTTTAACTGCGAGAGAGCGGGCCACTTGGCAAATACAAAAAATACGGGGCCCCTAAATTCGTCTTAAGAATCTGCGACCAAATCTTGTTGCATTAATTTCGGGACACCCTGTATATAACATCGGATGAAAATTTTATACAAATTTTTAAACTTGTGTAAATTAAATTAATATCTTTCAAAGTTGTATCTCCTTTGAACGTTTTAGGAAATTTGTAAATATTAATGTGCTGTTAATACTTTAATGTTGCTGTTAATGATATTTTTTAAAATATATTTTGTAAAGTTATTAATTCTTTTATATTTTTGCTTATTCTGCGGAACAGGTATTAACAGAAATTGTACGCAATAAGAAAATGTATTTATTTATATAAAAAATGGCCAAGTATTACACCATTGCATATAAATATATAGTAAAATATAAATATTATCTGGCGACATTAAAACTTGATTATCATATAAAACAACCATAACAATTACTAGAAGAGTACGAGCATATTTCGATTGAAGCTGAGTATAGTCATTGTGCTGTTGAGTATTATATCCTTCATCTATACATTGAAAGCTGCCATTTTATTTCATATTTAGAGAATCATATGTTGGAGGAGCTGCAAAAATAATATGTATTAGTGTATGAAACACACAGTTAAATATCTGACTTACGCTGTTCCGAAGGCAAATTTCCACTTGGCATACTAGCATCTTGTGATTTTGAATAATCTGAAAAATCATCATTACTGTCAATTAAGTTTCAGTTTTCAAATGTATGTAAATCAATTCAAATTTATTAGCATGATTCGTGCATTAGTTAATTTATAAGAAACGAATGTTTCATATAAAAAGCTACACCGATATAGGGTGTCCCACCGGGAACTGCGTCGATCGATAAATAGGAAAGTACTGCTCCGAAAAATTTGAAAACTTGGCAACACAACTAAAATATCTAGAACTCTCCAGCACTTCCGCTTATACTGGAAGTCGACACCAACTTCGTTATTTTAAATGGGACTCCCTAAATATTATTGCATTTTCGTATTCAACGTGAAAATTGAGGGTCACCTTATTATATATTCCCTATACCCAGTGGTCATAGATTTTGAAATATTAATTTTTAAAGAAAAAATTTGATAGATACAAGGGTTCGCGGAGATGCTAGTAACTCTTTTCAGGAACGTGATATCAAGCGGATTTTTGGTACATGTAAAGAGCATATGTAACAATACATTATGGTATACCAACAAATTAAAACATTTAATACTAGGTCTTTTATTTTTGCCGTTAATTTTTGATAACTTCAAACAGCTATAACTTTGTTAACTTAAATGGAACACCCTATATTTTTTACTGTCGTGCAGACTGAAATTTTATTTCAAGTCATATAATCATTGTTAGGATTGCCGTTACTACTTTTAGAGATATTTACAATTATCTATTTTTTGGACAGTTTTTCTCATATCAGACTTGTTGTCAAATTCACCATGACCAGAAACAATTGAAATAACATAACATTTGTCAAGTTAGTTGTCAAATTATTGTTGTGTCTGAATATTTTTTGCCGAAAATTTAAATAAAAATGCCTGGGGATTGTTTAAATTATACTAATGAGGATTATTTTAATTTATAACTCTTAGGTATAGGGGATATTTAATAAAATGACCTTTAAATTTCATGTAGAATCCGAAAATGCAATAATATATGGGGTATCCCATTTAAAATAACGAAGTTGGTGTCGACTTCCGGTATAACCGGAAGTGCTAAAGTTCTAGATATTTTAGTTGTGTTAGCCCCAGGGACATTGCCATGTTGCCAAATTTTCAGTAGTACGATAGATATCGATTGACGCAGTTCCCGGTGGGACACCCTGTATATTACAACTCACAAATAATGTCTAGTAAATTGTTAAGATCAGTTGTCAGCAGAATCATCAGACATAGACGTTTCAAACTGATTAGTTCTCATCTCATCATTATATCATAAGTCAGACAACCCAAAAATGGTATGTCAATGTTTATCACTATATTTTATCATAGTGTTACATGAGGGCTATCATTTTCGGAGTAATTTTAAATTTCCAGACACATAATATGGCATTGTTCACCACTGAAAATATACGCAAAGTTTAGAAGGCTTGCTGTGGACATTGAGTTCTGTAGAATTTCCGAATACATTCTTACGAAACTAACGAGCGTTCAAATAAAAACGTGGTCAAGTTGATTCTGAAAATTTGGACGTAGGGCGTAGCGTATAGCAAATGAACTTAAACGTCATCTGTCAAAGCGCTATATCGCCGCTATCAATTTGAATATTTTCGTTTTAAAAAGCGTTGAAAGTGGTGTTTTCTCAAGAACAAAAAGTGTTTATCATAGAGTCCTACTTTAGAAATGGACGCAAGATTGATGGAATATGGAAGTATTCTATTGAGGAATGTTTCATAGAATTTCAAAATCAATTTCCCGGCGTTGTTGAGTACAAAATTTTTCAAAGTGCAGTTCAGCGTTGTGTTAA